TTTTAATTTTAAAAATTAGTTTTAAGGGTAGTCGTTAACCCGATAAATTTGGTCGGCTGTTCAACTGCAGTTACAAAAAATCATGCAATTTGAGTACGATTCTCCCCTGCATTTATACACAATATCGCGGAAAGAAAATCCACCTTCTCGCAGCCGTATTACACGACCTTGTCAAAGTCAGTGAAATCTGGATAATTGGTTTTTCATCTTCTTAATGGCATTTCTTGACAAATAGCAACTCACTCTGTCAAAATTTTACGGAAAAAAAGCTCACAAACTGTAGAACACATATTTAAAGCAACTCTGATTTGAATGTTCGCAGTGGTGCTTCTACCGCCGAACTTGCAAGTCAAGCGCAAAATTTGAATAAACATCATCTTTGTGTCGTCTTTTCATCATCTTTTATCTTTTAATCGCCTACCAAATTTGGAGTAAATTATTGTGAATCTTATTTTTCTTAATTTTCTGTATTTTTATCACTTTTCTTTCTTGCTTTTAAAGGGTTCAGCAGTCCTTGAAAAGTTTTAGTAGTGGTAATAAATTTAGGATAATGATTACGTGGTTTAGCAAACACGAATTTTCAAACATATATTCTTGCTTTAGAGAAAATTTTACTAATACTTACCTACCAAGTTTTAAGCATTTGTCGTAAAATTTTATTTCGATATTTAAAGTGGTAGTAAAATTAATAATAACAAGACTAAAAATTTAAAAAAAGCTGGAAACTCAATTAATTTTTTTATTTATTTTCTCTTTAGTTATTCAATCCTACTACTACTAGGACTTACATTTTAAATTATTCGTCCTTGAAGCAAAAAAAAAGTTTTTCCATGCTGTTTCAATAGCAAACTAAAAAATAGGTTTGAAAAAGTGAATATTTTTATCTCTTTCATTAAAATTTTGAATTTTTTACTCACCACTTTATGTTTTTTTAGTTGTCTTTGCCAGCTGTATTAAAGAATATCCATTTATAAATTAGATGTAAGGGCATTATCTTTGTAGAAATGTGAGCAAGTAAAGGCCACATTAACCGTTAAATCATAATTCCAATCCTACCGCTAAATCCAACTTGACCGCTCTCTGCAAAATATTTTATGATTGAAAAGATATTTACTCTAAAATACTCTTCTGAGTTTTTTATTTTGCTAATCCTTTTAAAGCCTCATTCCGATATTAATAAAATCAATCAGCATTTCACATAAATGTTTGAAATCATTATGTATAGCGGTGAACAGCATCAGTTTTCTTCAAATTTACCAAATAAAGAATTAATTATAGGGGTGAAAATTTTATTTTGTACAATTTGGCAAGTACTTGATCTTACCTAATTCGGGGGTAAGGAATCAAAATTTAATATTTTAGGATAGAAATATAAAAATGATTTATTGAAAATAAGTGTATATTTTCGTGAAATAATGGGCTAATATGTAATAATAAATTTTTTTTTGAAAAAAAAAAACAATTGCAATGTAGAACTTTCAGTTTTTTGTAATAAATATTTTTAAGTAGCTTCCATCTTTCAAATGATTGTTTTTTAACTTCGCTTTTTGACTTGGAAATTTTTTTGCATGGCAAGAACAGCCAATAATATGTTTTGATTTGTTTAGTAAAAATCCAAAATCGTTATAAAAAAAGGAAATTTAAATTTTTGCCTTTACCCTTTCATGGGCCATTTATTTCTAGTAAAGAAAAATTAAATATTTTTGGAATTGAAATTGTTTTAAGAATAGTATTTTATATAAGAAAAGCAAATCATTCAGTTTATGTAAATTCCATTTTTTCGGTGGTAAATATATTTAACACGACCTATTAGGAACTTATTGACTTTTATTTTTCTTTATTTATTAAATTAAGAATAAAAATACATTTTAAAAATGCTGCAAACTTGAAAAGGAATTATGTGTTTTATATCTTTTATACGTTTTTTTAAACTAACAAATGGTTAACAATTTTAGACAAACACACTTCAAGACAATAATGTTAACAATATAACAAATGGAAACTTAAATTAAAAGTGGTATTAATTATACTTCCAACGGCCTTGTAAAGGGTTAAACAGCCTTCTTTCATCAAAACATTTTTCAAAGTCAACTGAAGCAAAATGCAATGCCTTCCTTACCAGACTGAATCGCCCGCTTAACACTTTGCAAAGCGTAGAGGTAGCGGGTTGGAATCCCGCTGATACCCTGGAAGAATCTTCGTGCTGTCCTTTTCGGTATTATGCTATTTGTCCTTCTACATGACTAAGGTTTATAAGCCTTAAATTGTGCACACAAGTCTGCAAATGTATGTTGCACCCATAAGTAAAAAAAATCATTGAAGTAATACTACTTAAAGAATAGACGTAATTGGATTTAAAACAACACCCTAAGATTAAATAAATCATCCCGAAAAACTGAAGTGATTAGTTATTAGTTGACTATGAACTTCAAAAATAAGGGTCGACATTTTTTAAGCGCTCAAAATAGGATCCCGTTTTCAAGACTTGTACAAAGAAAAACAAGAATGATTTGAATTTAGAAATGTGAAGTTGCCAGCAAAAAATTGGAAACAAAATAATATCAGTTAAAGTGATGAATCTCTCCATACCACCTCACCGTAGCGAGTACAAATGTATTTTACCTTGATTCGCTCCTCTCACCATTATTTATTTTTTGTTCTGTTTTTCATCTTTTCTTATTTCTCGTCTGCTTTGTTTCCCTCTATTTTTGTAAACATTTCCCTCTATTTTTCTTGTTGTTTTATACCTTTACTCTTCCATTTTTTGTTTGCAACTTTACGTTTTATATTTCAATTCACTGTTTATTCTTCAGACACGCGTTCGGAAAATCTTGAAAATTGTTGTCTATTTTTGTGCGCTTGTAACATTTTGACTGTTATTTCCAAATTGTATATTTTAGAACTAAATGAAGTTTTTAATGAAGTTAATCCCTTAGATATTGTTGCTAGTATCACATTTTAAGATTAACAATGACAGGCCGTCCGCACCTACCGGGTTTTTCGCAAAATATTTAATGGAGTGGCCGACGTAAACGTGAGCTTTAGTAGGTTTTGTTAATTTTTCCAACATTTAAAGAGTCTCACTATACACTTTTAAATAATTTACATTTAACTAGGAGGCTTCGCCCCCTGCTCGCTAGCGCTCGCCTACCCCTGGAACTGCTTTCGCAGCTCATTTCGGATTGCTTCGCAATCCGATGTTCGCTTCGCTCGCTCATTGGATACGTTCTTAACGTCTAGCTTTTGTATACTTTTTTGAACACTGAAGTTCCGAAAACTTTTCACTGTTGAAAATTCTAAGCCTGTGCATTTCAATATTAATTTGAAATTGAAAACAGTTCTCATATTTTTCTTAATCACACTATTCTAAATTTCAGTTGTTGAGAAAAGTAACTTTTGTAAGTTTTGTTTCAAAGTCTTTCCCACCAAAGGGCTAAAACCATGTGTTGTAAAACAATATGAAATAGTACTGAATGCTGGATGTAAAGCATCGGCTTCGATGAAGATAATTTGGTGAGAATGTTTTTGATAATTCGGTGAGAATTCAACCGATTAGACATATGATACTCACTACGTGCTCTTGCGCACCGAAGCCTATCAATTAAAACGTATTAGCGTTTTATATGATATATAGATTAAATACCACTAGAATAAAGTTTTTCAAAAACCATTGAAAGATGGCAAAGTGGGTTAGTCAAAATTTCTTAAAATTGAAAGTTAGTTTTTTTTAAAAATAAAAATATGAATTAAATATACTTTTATATGTTTAGTCAAAAGTTAAAATTATTTAAAAGAATCAATTATCAATTACTTACAATAAAATTTTTTACTTAGAAATATTTAATAAAATAATATCTCGAAAATTACTTAAGGAAAATGAACAAAAAAGTTCAACTGTCATGTTAAATAGCGATTACTTTTCAAGGAAGATATAAAACTGCTAAATAGAGTAAACATAGTATTACTGAAAAGAAAATCTTTAATTTAAAATTAAAAAATGCTCGCTCTCACACAGATCGTAGGGAAAGGTTACAAAAAAAAATTCTGATATTACGAAACTTCTATAATAGTTTGAGTTATTGTAAGTAGCCACATTTTCATAATACCATAAGTAGTCTTACATGGCAACTTTTACTCTTTATACAAAAGTTTTTTCCTAGTGGTAATGAAATGCCATTTTTAGGGTTGACAGACTGAGTGCTTTTATTTTCGACAGTTGTTGAAAAATGTCACCGGCTCATTGTCATTTCAAGATATACGTAAAGTCGATGGACATCAGCATCCAACGTATAAAGATGCATGCCTTGCACTCGGTCTTCTGGAAGACGACAACCAGTGGGAATGTATGCCTGCTGAAGCAGCACTGAACTGTACTGCAAAGCAAATTCGTCTACTATTTGCTATAGTATTAACTACATGTTTCCCTGCCCATATAGAAGCGTTAAGGGATAATCGCAAAGATTTGATAACTGATGATAGACGGTATCATCATCGCAAGCGTTGCAACGATCTAACGAAAGCATTCAGCAATGCTATGTACAATGAAGCACTGATCGCTATTGAGGATCTTTGCATTATTATTGCCAAGTTGCCACTCAGTCATTTCGGTATGCCTTCACCAAATCGAAGTGCATCTGATTTATAAAACACTGACATGAATCGTGAACTTCAATACAATACGATAGAAATGGCAGCGATTGTTACTCGCAATGTTCCACTAATGAATGAGGAACAAAGGAATATTTATGATCGCTTTATGCTCGCAGTTTCGGCGGGACAAGGTGGAATTTTTTTTTTGGTGCACCAGTTGTAACTGGAAAAACATTTATTATTTCGCTAATTCTCGCTGAAATACGATCAAATAATGGCATCGCGTTGGCCGTTGCATCATCTGGCATTTCGGCAACTTTATTGGATAGAGGCAGAACAGCTCATTCAGTATTTATCGTTGGCACTAAATATTCAAAACTACCTAAATAAAGTGTGCAACATAAAAAAGCAATCGTCTATGGCCGTAGTGTTGAAACACTGTAAAATTAACATCTGGGATGAATGCACAATGGAACGACAAACATTCGCTTGAGGCGTTGAACAGGACATTGAAAGATATAAAAAAACAATGACAAATTATTTGGCAGCACTCTGTTACTCCTTTCAGGTGGTTTCGGACAAACACTTCCCGTCATTCCGCATTCAACGTACGCTGATGAGATCAATGCTTGCTTGAAATCTTCTCCACTGTGGCTTTATGTTTAAAAAGTTCAACTAAAAGTAGATATGGGCGTCCAAATGCTTCAAGATCCATCTGCTGAAACATTCTAAAAACAATTGTTAGATATCGGTGATGGAAAAGTTACTAAGGAAGAGACTGGGTGCATGAAATTCCCGGGCGATTTCAGCACAATCATTGACTCACAAGTTGTTCTCATTAACCTAATATTTCCCGATGCACACACACAATACATTCATCATGAGCGGCTGAGAGAAAGGGCGATTTTAGCAGGAAAAAATGTGGGCGTCAACGAATTGAATCTGAAGATACAACAGTTATTGCCAGGTAACTTGATGACATATAAATCCGTTGATGCAGTTTGCGATCCCATTAAAGCAACAAATTTTCAAACAGAGTTTTTGAACTCATTGGATTTATTAGGCATACCACCGTATAATTTAGTACTCAAAGTTGGATCTCCGGTTGTTTTGCTTCGTAATTTGAACCCACCACGGCTGTGCAACAGCACGCGATTAGTCGTTAAAAAATTTAAGAAAAACGTTATAGAAGTTATTATTTTAAATGGCAAATTCCGGGATGAAAGTACAGTACTTCTACGAATCCCTATTATACCTACAGAGATGTGCCAGTTCAATTTAAACGCATTCAGTTCCCCATTAGATTGGCATTTGCAATGACAAGGCCAAACAATGTCTGTTTGTGGCTTAAATTTGAGCACACCATGTTTTTCACACGGAAAATAATACGTGGCCCGCTCTCGTGTGGGCAAACCATCCAGTTTATTTGTGTTAACTAAGGATGGAATGACAAAAAAAAATTGTACACTCCATTGTACAAAATTGTACACTCCATATAGTTGCCGTAAACCCAAAAACTGGCTCGGCTGTCCAATGACAGATATAAAATAATATAAAAAAATTGATATTATCTCAGAGGATAAAACGTTCGTTTTCCAATGAGGTGAACAGGGTTCGAATCCCACTCAATGGCTGGTCGATACGAATTTCGCATCCGGCTTCCACAGACCACAGTGCTGACGTAAAATATCCTCAGTGGTAGATGGATCATAAGTAAAAGATCCCTTGCTGTTAGGCTAACCGTGGGAGGTTCCTGTAGTTTTCTTCTCCATCTAACGCAAGAGCGGTTTACTTCAATCAAAAAATCCTCCAGGAAGTCAAATTTCTCCTAGCGCTTAGTCCAAGAGTTCCCTTATCCTATGGATGGGGTTCAAAATTAGAAGGCTAGGAAGTTAAACATTGGAAGTCTTAACCCCAAACTCAATTGTAAACGTTAATATTTATTTCATAGATCGATAAAATGTTTCATATCTGTTACTTAAAACTATGAAAAATGAACAACGAAAGAATAACGGCCAGCAACTATACTTGGTAGTGAAAGTTTTTCCGACACCTTTTTAAAAATTTTAATTATTGGGAAATTTTTATTTATTAATAATTTTTTTTCTTCTTCTCTTAATAAAATATTGTTTTCTTTCCTATTTTATCTCATTTTTATAGGTTCTATGGACGAACAGCTTCCTTATTAGTCTCTCTTCTCCTTTATTTAATTATTTTGTGTTTATTTACGTGTGTATATAGATATATATATTAGCGCAGACGCACATTACACGCGCTTGCAGCGCCATTTCAAAACACTATTTAAGTCTTAGAGGTTTCATTGATTTTAAGTTCGACGATTTTTTTTCTTGTGGTTTTTTAAAAAAAACGATCAATTTAGCCTCGTAGAAAATAGCGATAATCTTTTGATCAAGTATTCGAGTCCGACACAGGGAGGATAGAGGCCTACCGAGACTGTGGATTATCTTTCAGGGAAATCAGTAGCCGTGTTTGACAAAGCCAAACAACTGTATTGCTCATATGAGATCGTTGGATGCATTAGGGTAAGATGGACCGACGTGTTTGATTGCATCCACGGAAGTGCACCACTTCACGTGATGACAGGCGAATTGTGCGCATGACATTGACTGATCTCTCAGTCACATCACAAACCATAGCACAGCGCATTCAGTCTGTAACGCATCACCCAGTGTCTGCGCATAACATTCAACGTCGTTTACAGTAGAGTGGTCTGTCCGCAAGACGTCCATTGCCTTGTCTACCCTTGACGCAGAACCATAGAAGTCTCCGTCGCCAATGGTGCGATGAAAGGAGGATGTGGACGACAGAATGGAAAGAAATTGTCTTTACTGACGAGTCACGCTTCCGTCTGCAACACCACTATGATCGCATTCGAGTCAGGAGACACAGTGGAGAGAATGCTAAACAGCTGCCACCGTCACACTGGTTCTGCAGCGGGTATTATGGTATGGGGCGGTATTGGTACCGGCAAAGTTCCTACTCTAGTACGCATTGCCGGTACTTTAAACAGCCAACGCTACATTTCCAAGGAGCTGGAGCCAGTTGTCCGTCCTTACCTTCACACAGCCCACAGCCATATTTGATCAGGATAATGCGCGACCGCACGTGGCTCGCATAGTCCTAGGATTCTACGTCAATCGCCATATTGAATTGCTTCCCTTTTCACCTCACTCTCCGGATCTTTCGCCGATAGAAAACATGTGGTCCATGATTGCTCAACGAGTTACCTAGATTACATCCCTAGCTGCCACACCAGATCAACTCTTTAGCGACTATTGGACTTTTTTTGCATCTAAAAAATAACAAAACATATTTTTGCTTGTAATTAGAACGTCAGAAAAAGGAACATATAAAAGGAACACTAGTGTCCCATCTGCGCCAAAGGGTTAAAGCAAGAAAAAGAGAATCATAACATAACGCATCATAAACTGAACGCACTTTTCTTCATGCTATTCCCTACTTAGTCGAGAAGTGGGGACACTTAGCAGTCACAAGTAAGAAATTTGAAAGTTTCTGGTTTGAAATATATTATTAAATTGCATAAAAACTACTGCATCTTCTAGAAAAAAAAACTAATTGCAGATTTGTAATCGGCGTCACGAAATGTTTAAGATCTGTTCATAATCTTATACAACAGAAAATGAAAAAAAAAACATTTGTTCCTCAGATTAATGATTGCAATGAGAACGGCTGGTATACAAAAAATGGTACTCCATTGATGCTCAAATGAAGTTAGAAATTATTGTATTAGCCCATGATAATTTCATTATTGTAGATTAATTAAGTGTTAAATCATATTTTTTATAGCCTAAAAGTTGTTCAAATATTATTAAATATTACATTTGTACAAATAATTTGTTAAAATCACAGTAGATTGGCATTCACTGGTAAAAAATAATTATGAAATAACTGGCTACCTATTTTAGAGTTCTTTGAAAAGAAAATATAACTTTAAAACTGGGCAAAATCTTCCAATTAGCCGTAATTATGTGTAATAAAATCACAAAACAGTACAGACACCTACTTATTATTTAGCACATTGAAAGCGGATCACTTAAAAATACATTTTAGAACTTTCTTCGATTCATTCAAAAGTTTAAAAAGTAGTAGCAAAACTACTTTGCGTAAGTTCCGTTTTTTAAAGAACTTATCCATTCGTGATTTGGACAAACATAAATGATTCAGTATAGATGTACAATCGCTCGTCGTTATTTTCTTACATTGAAGTTGTAGCAACAGTGACAAGTTTGTTATAACTTTTATGAAATCTTGCCTACCATTTTTTAAAGCAAAACAGCTGTTATCCTTTTTCTGGAAATGTTTGTTTTCAATGTGTTAATCGCTTACAAGATTTTTCGAGCTTTTATTATTAGCATGAAATATTTTATAGTTAAATAATCTACAATTCCTACTATAACGATTCTTTTCATAACTTAAAGCCTCCACACGATTTTCTGCAGGTAGACGGATTAGACCACTTTGAAGGCAAACCCTTACCTGCCAACTCTTCCGGAAGATTTTATTTTCATATTTAAAGTGGTAGCAATACTCATGTTATTCCAATTAACTTTTTGAATTATAATGATAATTATAAATGAGTTTGATCACCACTACATATAAATAATTACAATAAACATATGAAAGCACAATAATTCTTGAGCAAGCGAATTTCAACGGGATCAAAATATAAATATATTTTTGAGTCAAAGTGTGTTTCGTTTATTGTTTTACAACCACTCTGAAAATCCATTCTCGGAAAGAGTAAAAGCTCTGCCTGCCAACTTTTAATCCCTTCCATTATCATTTTTCCCAGTGGTATTAAAATGGAATTAAAACTTCAATTTTAAGCCAACAAATACGTTGTATATGAGAAAACTTAAGTTGACAACCATGATAGTAACGCATAGTAATATATGTGCTTAATTTTTGTGAGAATAGTGGTGATCAATATCATTTAAAAATTAAGATTATAAAAGAAAAAATAGTATATAATTACTACCACTTTAAATATGAAAATAAATTCTTACGGAAAAT